CTTGATTTCATTAAGTGTGCTACAAAGGAAACTTACATTGCTACTTGATGAAGAACAGATAATCTTTTATTAATGTTCCTCTAGATCATAACATTTAGGCAATGCTGATTTAAGTCACTAAAAATGATGCAGCCATATTACACAACTGACTCATGCTGTTTGCTTGACACTGACAGGCAAGACAGCCTTACCCACCCCCGCTGGTGTGGGGAGGTGGCGTTGGACCAGAGTCAGTCACTGGAGAGACCCACCCAGTCCAGGAGACCACCTTCCATGTTCCCCCTCAGCACCCTAAGGCCCTGCATCCCCACTCACATACTCATCACCACCACGGGCAGATGATGGCTACTCGCCCACGCCCACGCCACTACACCTCCCCGACACACAGCTCCTCGACACAGGACTCCATGGAGGTGGTTCATGGCCATCTGTCCATGACCTCCCTGTCTTCCTCTGCCTCCTCTTCCTCTACATCGTCCTCTTCCACTGGGAACCATGGCAACCAGGCCTACCAGCTCCGCCATTTGCCCGCTGGAGCCCTTGACTTTGGTCAGAATGGTGGGCTGAGCATGGGGCTAGGTGCCTTCTCGAACCCACGGCAGGAGACTGGCATGGCAGCGCACCCTGCTTTCTCCATGGGCACGAACACAGGGCCTGCCCACTACCTAGCGGAAGGCCACCTGGGCATGAGGCAGGGCATGGACCGGGAGGAGTCTCCAATGACTGGAGTGTGTGTGCAGCAGAGTTCTATGGCCAGCTCGTGACTGCACTGACATTTGGCTGTGTGTTCCCCCTGTGCGTCATTTTTAAGGTGGTGTTTTTTACTACAAGGTGTGTTGAGAACAAAAGCTGCTCACGTCAGAAGGGAGATATCACTGAACCGCTACTACAGAGAAAAACCTTTGTTAAAAAGTATATATGTAATTTTCATCAGTTTTTCTTTTGCAATCATTAGGCACAAAATAATACTGCGGAATAACCATAGTGAGATTGAGACATCCATCTTACCATTTCACCAGTTTCATGTAACCACCAAGTAATCACCATATGGTATTATGTGGCAAAATCTTCTAAGGAGCATTTCAGAGCGAAGTTTGAAGCTGTTTTGCAGGTAGCTGTTGGTGATGAAATGCTTGGCGTCCTCTTTCGGTTCAAACCGTGGACCGCCTGACATTACTGTTCCACTGGTTCTTAATTATTTTTGCCCTTTTTTAAGTGAAATTTCACATAAAAGCTGCTTGTAAATCCTGTAGCTTGACAATGAGGGGAAGTGTTTGCGGTGATATTTCTTGTTGTTGGTCGGTATTGTGTAACTCTGTTAAAGGGGAGCACATAGCAGTGGAGTCCCTATGCGTGTGCTGGCCGGGTGGAGAGGAGACCCCGCAGGTGGATACTGACACCAATCGGGTCAAAGGAGAGAGGGAAGCACCACCCCTCAGGCCTAGAGGCCCCGTAGTCCTGCAAGCTGCAACCGGGCCCGGCACAGGCGAGAGCAGCAATGGGCGCGGGAGACGAAAGGATCCAGCCCAGTGAAAGGAAGACAGTCAGTGGCTGGTTCTAGATAACCCTTTGGCCTTATGACTCATGGACTTGGAATGGGATGGAGCTGGACATTATCATTTGAATTAAGATGGCTTTTCTCTATTTTTCTCTCTAGACAGCCCTTAATTCTTTAAGGAAATTAAAACAACTTAGAAAAGGTAAATACGAATGGTAATTTGAGGCCTTTCTCGACAAAGATTTCGTCTTCAGCAGGGCCCCACATAACAGGGTCTTATTGTACACAACAACCTCCTAAACATTACTTCCTTGAAATTCACTGGTTAAGGATTTTGCAGTGGAAAGAACTATCTATTCCAGAGTTTACCCTTTTATGTTTTGTTATTTTTTTCCCTTTTGCATGTAGTTCCTCATCAGAACCACCTGCACAAGTCTCTCCATCCAAAACATGGAAACTGAAGAAAAAAATGAGTTAAGTGACTGCCTTTTTTCTCCTCAAATTATGCTGTGAATTTTACAAGAATTTATTTTCCCTTTGGATATGTTTTTATACCAAAGCAGTTGTTTTATAGCATATAGGTGTCTGTAACCAATAATGTAGCAGTTCACCACTTTGACGCAAAGTTTATCAAGATCTTATTTTAACGTCAACACAAACAGCTGCAATATATTACTTTAGCAAAACTGGAGACCGTTGTCGAGACCGTTGGCTATTGTGTATTCTGGCCAGATTTGTTTGCAACGTTTTACCAAAACTGTTTCCATATTAATTGGTAGATTATTTTGGGAGTCTTTTAAAACTTTGGTATGTTAGAGAATTTGGTAGTTACTCTGCAGGCTCCGGAGTAGCAAGATAGAAGCTGATGGTTTAAAAAAAAAAAAAAAGAAAAAAAAAAAAAGGAGACTAATGCGTTCTATTTCTGTGTCGTCGTTTTTCTTTTGCCCCCATCATACTATTTCAAAGGGTGTTGCTGCCTTTCATACATCATTTGGTCAACTTGGCTAGTTTCTGCCGTGAAGCAAGACTTTGTGTCATTGTCTTGGCAGGGTAAGGATAATTGTGGCAAATCAGTTTGTGTTGAATGGTATTGTTCTGATTTGGTAGGGCAGATCCCCATGATTGTTGTCCTATTCAAAGGGAAAGGGTGTCTGTCAGCCCACAATCACATGCTTTGCCTAGGCAGACATGCATGTCCTCAAAACATTACAGTCAATTACCAGATTTTTTTTATATCAGGGATTTTGAAGTGCTTTCTTTCTTCTGTTGCTCATTTTACCAGCTTTGAAATTAGACAAAAAAAGAAAACCCTGCCCACAGCCACCTCTCAAATTAAGGGCAGGCCACAGGTCATGCTGTTGTCATTTTAAAGGAGAAACCATCATAAGAAATCATGCTTGGTATTTCCACAAACACAAATGTAAAGCTACCTATATTGAGATTGGGGTTTTATCTGGATGTCAAGGTTAATTGCAAATTTGCAATCATTTTTCATACCCCGCAGAATTTGAGACATTTAGAAATTGCCAGTGGTTTTATTACTGGCACTCATACTGGTACTAAACATTCCAAAAATAAAGACTGAAAAAGAAAAAAAATTGACTGCAGTGACTCGTAAGTGTGCGCCTATTTCAGATCATGCTGATTGACCTCTTATTTAGAGCAGTTGTCATGAAATGCAGCCCCTTTTTAATAGTTGAAATAGAATTTATGTATATATTTATATTTTTTTAATAAAGGAAGTATAGAACTCACTACCTTGCTCCTGCTGGTATGTTGATTATGTTTGTCAATTTGGTGACCATTCAGTGGGCAGGAACTCCTGTTTTCTTAGTGGCAAAACCTTGCCTTTTGGCAAAGGTACTTGACTACATCAGGACAACACTATGAGGTAGGGTTTGAATCAAACAGGGAAAGCTAGATCTTCAAACCTTAATAATTTTCACAGGGTATATTGTAAGTGCATGTACATCACAAACCTTACTTTTTGGTTATATGAGAAGCACATGGTTGAAAAAAGGTTCCATCTTTCATAAGCCTGTTCAGTTTGTGGGTTATACACAAACACGTATACTTGTCGACATATCTGAACACCCAACAGAAGTTGAAATCCTCTTATTTAATTTGGATTTATCCTTTTCATTTTTGATTTCACATTTTTTCACTTTTTTTGTACATGCAACATGCACTATAGAATTGAACAGCATGGGGGAAAGGATAAGTCCATGTATCCACAGATTGTAAGATCTAGTCAAGACTTTGCTGTGTTTATGACAATGCCCTTTGTATTATATTAAGACAGTCTTATGTATGATATATAAAAAGAAGTTAATTGAAATGCTCTGCGTGTCTTTATTGTTCCCTGACATTTACATTGGCTGAAGTGTTACATAATCATACATTATCCATAAAAATACAAAAAAAAAAAGAAACGTACGTAGAGGACACGGAACAGAAAAGGCTGTACAGTACAAGGCTTTTATAAAAAAAGACAAAGCAAGTTTCAACGCCCCGGCTCGTTGGTCTAGGGGTATGATTCTCGCTTCGGGTGCGAGAGGTCCCGGGTTCAAATCCCGGACGAGCCCTGTTCCTTTTACTCGAGAGGTCAAGAAGCTGTAGGAAACAAACTGTGGCTTAGAAGCTGCTAAGAAAAAAACACAATGAAAAAAACGAAATTTCTCAGGGTATGATGGGAAACACGTGGCCTTTTTATTTTTATAACAGGGAACGGTGTCTCCAGGAAGCTTTCGGAGCTGGTTATTAACCGTGTGTCGACTGTTTGCGCTGCACTGCTGGAGTCGGAGTCTCAACTTGACATTCTCCTTTGCATTGGTGAACCTTTGATGACACCATGACGAACCAAAAAGGTGGGCTCGTCCGGGATTTGAACCCGGGACCTCTCGCACCCTAAGCGAGAATCATACCCCTAGACCAACGAGCCACATACATTGAAGGCAGACACTTCCATCTTTACTCATAAAGCTGTAATGCAGTCTTTCCCTTTTTTATAATGTTTTTCTTCATTTTATGTACCTAGTAGCATTTCTTACATTAACACATACCTTGTACTCCCTTAGAAAGCGAACTAGCTAACACTGGCCGTGAAGAATGAGCACTGGGGGCAACACGCAGCTACCGATTCATTGATGCATTCTCAAGCTCGCTATCTATTTTCACGACATACAGCCAGTTGTTGGTCTAAATAAAAATGGAGCAACACATGATACCTAACAGACGTCATGTTTCTTAGTAAATACAGTCATAATGGAACTGGTTGCCCTACCCTTGCAGCTAACTAGCTAACTCCTGTGCTGTCGTGAATTGGCCGGTAGGCGGCATCAGTGCGTCTTGACATGCTGCTGTCGCACCATTTTAAGGACAAGGAAGAAGAATTCGTTCGCTGTCTTCTGATTGGTCGGTTGGGTGGCTCAACTGACCACTCGGTATCGCTGACATTTTTGTTGCGTCCAATCAGATTCCACGTAGGTGGGACATTACGCTGCCAAAACGTCTACTCAAAATTCAACCGTTGTGACTGTATAGTGTTTGTAGTGTGCAATGTTTGATAATTGTTCGTGGAAACGTCGATAAGGCTTTTTATGAGGCTATCTAAGTCGTTTGATAGTGTTTAAAACCACCAACGTCCCTTCGACTTCCCAAAAGAAAAAGCTAAAGATAGCAAATGGTAACAGTCAGCTAAGTTAGCTAAGCTAACTACCTAGCCACAAGCATGCCGAATTTTTGCGCGGCCCCAAACTGTACACGAAAGAGCACCCAGTCAGATTTGGCATTTTTTCGGTTTCCACGGGACCCAGAAAGGTAAGGAATCATGTACAATCTTACCCACGTTGACGGACTTGAGTATGAATGTAACTGCAGTGAACCTTGTGCGATTTCTCAGCAAGAGTTGTACTAAAATGACTGACGAATGATTACTGTCCAAATGTTATGACTGCTACCTCTTGTAACTTTCCATGTGAAATCAGTTTGTCCTAAATTATCCATTTAGTATGTTGACTTATATTGAAAGTAAATTATAATTTTTAAAGTTTCATTATCACAGATGCTTATCTTAGCTGTTGTGTTTGTGCTGTATATCCTATAAACTCTGTGACAGAGTTTAGTACTCATTTATTTTGTAGGTAAAGCAGATCCTTGTGTACGCTGCAACTTGTAAACTACATCCTGACAAAGAGAACCAGTGTCTAATGGAGTGTTAACTAAAGTCATAGCACTTAAAACTGCTGAATATTGGGGAAAAACTGACATTGCAATATTTCATTCTTCTGCAATAAATGTTGCGATATAAAGAAAATGCAATAATAAACATCAGATTACTGGCACTGCAGTATTCTACAAGAATCACATTTTACAAAAGCTGAAAAAAGCAAACTGGAACCTTTCCTATATGGTGTAACATTGGCAAGGGTGTCCAAGGTAGATTTGTTGCTGTGGATAGTATTCTGATCTGACTTTGTACTCACCATACTCTGTGTTGCTGACACACATGGTCAAAGAAATGAGTTGTGTTTCTTCATGTAGTCGCAATAATTGTGAGACGCTGCTGATAAAGCACGTTTTTGGTTCGTGTCATCCTTTCTGTCGCTGAAATATTTCTATACAACTGCAGCTGCATTTCTTTTTGCAGTCAAATCTTTCACTTCAGTGTTCCTCTCCTGTTCCTCCCTTATTATGCTGTGCAGATGTGAGGCTTATATGTCAACAAACTATGGGCCTTGTTTATACAGTAAAGAAAAAATAATCCATGTTTCTAGGAACCCTTTAACCTTGAGTAAATTATGTGCGATCAGAATTCTCTTGTAGATTAATCGTAGAGAATGAGAGCTGTGCGAGTTTTCTTTTTGGAACTAGCAGCAAAAAAAGGAGTATCATCATGTATTTGAGTTAATTTGCTGTACTTCACTGTATGCTTCATGCGATGCTAATATTGCACATGTGCACTTCACAATGTCAATGCTGAAATGATATATTGTGCAGCCCTAATAGTAAATCACTGCTGATTCGAAACACTACATTCACATTAACCAGTGAAAATCCTGCATAAAGCACATTATTAATTGCTTAATTCATTTTTTCAAAGCAGCTGTGTAGTATCTGTTTTATTCTATAATGGGGCAACAGAGTCTGTCAAAAGACTTTAGTTTGCATGTTGTCTTTTTAAACAGACTTGTATGCAGAGACCTACTGTATCTCAAATGTCAAATGAAGTTAGCAAATGTTTTTCTTTTTAGATGCAGAATCTGGGTGGAGAACTGCCGCAGGGCAGATCTAGAGGCAAAAACATCAGACCAGTTGAATAAGCACTACAGATTATGTGCCAAACACTTCGACCCAGCCATGGTGTGCAAAACAGTGAGTATCACATGATTCGAGCCAGTGTTCTCTGGCAGCATGTTTCTGCATATTTCCCAAAAATGTGCATCTCCCAAATATTGCTTATGTGAATTTATTGCTTTTCAGAGCCCCTACCGGACTGTACTGAAGGACACAGCCATTCCAACCATATTTGATTTAACAAGCCATCTAAAAAATCCTCATACCAGACATCGCAAGCGGATTAAAGAACTTGTAAGAAAAATGCAGTTTTTAACCCAATAGTTTGATCAACTGTTGTCTTACGTTTGTGAATTAACTTCTGTTTTTAATTTCAGACTGAAGAGGATATAAGGAAGATGAAAGAAAGAAGATGTAAGTACTAAGGAAATGTGTTTGAGGACATACATACTTGAATGTTAGTTATTTTTAGTATTTATTTGCTTAAACTCATCATTTCTTGTGTTTCTCTCTCTCTGTGCTCAGTGGCATCTTCAACTGAACAGTTTTCTTCCGGAAAAGAGGATGGAGCTGACGATGGCACGAGCAACAATGACGATGAACCTCAACTGTCCACAGAAGAGAAGGAATTTCGTGAATACCTGCGATCCTTGTTTGAGGTTGTGGTCATGTTAGGAAAGCAGAGTATTCCGTTAATGACTGACAAAATATCTGAAGCTGAGCTCAAGTCCAACAACCTCCAGGCTCTTCTAGATTACCGCATGAATGCTGGAGATGAAGCCTTGATGAAGCGGTTTGAGGCGACAGCCGTAAACACTGAGTACCTCTCTGCCACCCAGCAGGGTCAGCTCCTGGACGTCTGTGAGAACACAGTGAGGGAGGAGATGCTAATGGAGGTGAGAGAGAGTCGCTTCTTCTCTCTAGTGACTGGTGACCTTGTTGAGTTTGCCAATGAGAAACACCTGCCTCTGTTTTTACGCTACGTGAATCAGCAGAACCTTCTCCGAGAGGAATTTTTGGACTTTGTGCCATTTGATGGTGATGAGCCTGCACTGGTAGAAAGGCTCGAGGCCCAGCTGACCGACCGCTGGGGGCTTAGCATGGAGGACTGCCGCGGTCAGGCCCACAAGGCCACTGGGACCTCCACCACCAAGATGAAAGCTGTGGCAGTGTTACTGATGGAGAAGTATCCCCTGGCACTGCACATGCCTTGCTCCCATATGGCACTGAACATCCACTTGGCCAACAGCCTGCCTTTTCCCAATGTCCAGGTTGTCATGGAGACCCTGAGGAGGATCGGTGCTTTCTTTAGAACCCCAGTAACTCAGGATGAACTGGAGAAGGCGATCTCTATTCACTACCAGAAGAATGAAGAGAAAGGAACGGCTCTAAAACAAGCTTGTGGCTCAGGCTGGACAGAGCAACACAACGTTTTTGACTTGCTGGTAGACATGTTGCCGCCACTGCTGCTGTGCCTGGACATCATTCGGGACAATGACGATGGAAAGTTTGTTGGTTCTGTCACGTCAGATGCGTACTCGATAGCAGAAACTCTCGCTGACTTTGAGGTCGTCGTCACTATCGTCATCTTAAAGAATGTTCTTACGTTTACCAGAGCTTTCGGGAGGAATCTTCAAGGGGAAACGCTTGATGTGTTTTTTGCTGCCAACAGTCTAACAGCTGTCCTGCATTCACTCAATGAGGTCAACGACAACATTGACGTCTACCATGAATTCTGGTATGAGGAGGCCGTGAGCGTAGCCACAGTGATGGACATTCCTGTGAAGATCCCGAGGCTGTTCCTTCGGAAACAGCGAGCGGCCGACGTGGGCGAAATCCAAGCAGAGCCGTATTTTAAGGAGTACGTGACGGTGGCTGTGATCCGCGGCGTCATGCAGGAGGTGGAGGACATGTTCTCTGAGACCAACCTCAAAGCTCTCAAGTGCCTGTCATTGGTTCCAGCTGTCATGGGCCAAATGAAGTTCAACACCACCGAGGAGAACTATGCCGACGTTTACCGCCACGATCTCCCCAACCCCGACACGCTTCCCGCAGAGCTTCACTGTTGGAGAATCAAGTGGAAGCACAGAGGCAAAGAGGTGCGTCTGCCCACCACCATCCACGAAACCTTGCAGCTCCAAGATGTCAAGTTCTTTCCCAACGTCAACTCCTTCCTCAAGGTGCTTTCGACTTTGCCAGTGCTGAAGCTTGAAGAGAACAAAAGCGACACGGCGAGCGAGCGGCTGCAGGCTTATTTGGACAGCATGCCTGCCAAGCAGTGGAACAAAAGTCTTGCGATGCTTAACATCAACACTCACGTCAAACACGACCTGGACGTCATGGTGGACAAATACTGCAGACTGTACGCGGAGGACGATCCTGAAGGCGAGGCCAAGTCTGATGAAGTGACTGAGGAAGATGCAGTGACGAAATCTTGTGAACAGAAAAGTGTGGATCAGTAATGTTTGTGCACATGGATGTAAGAGCTCGTTTTGTTGGAGATGTGATGGGTGACATCTCCCTGGAGTCAAAGCGATGCTGTATTTAAATGCACCGCAGCTAATCCTCCCGCTGCAACTGAATTTGCAGATTTGGAAGAATGCAAAATCTCAGCACTTCATGAAAACTTTTGTGAACCAAAAAGAACCTAAAGACAGCGTTTGGGGGATGATCTGTAAATACTGAAAGTTCTCTTTTAGGTTCTTCTCAGTTTAGCCTCTTCTGTAATGATGCTGTGTCAAAGTATTTTTTCCAGACAATTTATTTCCTTCCGATTTGTTTATTTTTGTAAAACTTTAGTAGAGGATTTTGCTGTTGGAATCACCTGCTGGCTTGTTTTCACTGTTGCGCTTTTCATTCAAACCACATGATGGAGGCAGATGTCTGTGTTGCAGCGATTCCACTGACTGCGAAGCAGGAAGAGCACAAGAGGGAGCAGTTCTATCAAAATCAGCAGCATCCCTGAAATAATGCTGAACTGGAAGCATTTTTTAAATAATTTAGAAGCTTTTACCGCTAGCGTGACTGATTTTTGGACAGCAGTAAGAGCAAGCGTGTTGAAGGTTCACCTCTTTAAAGGATCAAAATAACTCCTGGTCAGATGAATGACATTGAGGAAAATGCCATTCTCATGTGTAATAAAAATAGCAGTGATTGTTTTGTACTGTTGTCAGATTTTACAAATACTTTGCTTGAATAAAACATTGGTATAGAAGGAAAACAAGGCATTTTGAGTCCACTTTGTACTGGAACATCCCTCTTTTTCAGCTGCATGCTTCATTTTTTGAGTCCAATGCTTTTTAAATGTGAATTGCATTCAAACAGACAAAAGGAAATCTCACATGAATCTAAATGTTTGAGTCGTTTTGGTGCATGATCAAGCTTTAATTTTCTTTGTTCTGATTCTCGGCTGCATTCTCGGCCATTTCCTCAAAATGGAACAATGGGCTTCTGTTACATCCACTGTAGTTTTATAGTTTCTGACATGGCAGCATGGGGTTAAACTATGTCTCCTCCTCCTTCCTCCTTCCTCTCTGCTGGCCAGACGGTGACGAGCTCAGGTGATAGTTCACCGTGCAAACTCCCAGTGCAGACCCCGGGCATCTCTGGAAGCATCACACAAATAGTGGGTGGGGTCGCTTTGATGCGCAAACCAGACAGCAATGTGCGCTCCACGGCAAGCCCCAAAGTCTTAAACTTGAGTTAGAACAAATACCCTGCAGGAGGGGAGAGAGAGAGAGAGAGAGAGGGAGGCGTGGAGGCAAAGATACAGAATTACATAACGGAGGAATAACCCTGACTGGACAAAAAAAAAAAACATACAGAGAGGCTGCGAGTTGTGAGTATTTACGCGTTTATCCCACATCCTTTTTTTTGTATCCGTGCATCTTTCATTTTCCTCCCCAGCCAGCCTCCTAAGAGTCAAACATCATGGCATGGCCGTGCATTACGCGTGCTTGCTGCATCAACCGCTTCTGGACGGAGCTGGATAAAGCGGACATCGCGGTGCCTTTGGTTTTCACCAAATACTCGGATGTGGCCGACGTGCAGCACCTGCCCCATCACCCGCAGCCGAGGCAGAAAAAGGCCGGTGCCATTGCCATAGAAACCCAGCCCCATCCCGGGGAGCAGGAGGCTGGGAAGGCACCGCCCGCGACGGGTGCCGCAGCGGGCAAAGATGGCTCTACTGCGTCCGTCATGCGCCAAGACTTCAAGGCGTGGAGAGTGCGCCCCGAGCCCAGCTGCAAGCCCCGGAACGAGTACCAGCCTTCCACGGGCCCCTTCAACAACGAAACTCAGTACAGGAAGGATTACAAGCCCTGGCCTATACCGAAGAAGCACGACCACCCGTGGATCCCCAAACCGAGTCCCACCGGTGCTGCTACCACTACTACTGCTGCCTCCACCGGGCCGGAGAGGAGCGCAGGAGGCGGCAAGCAGGAGCATGTCGCCGCCGAGGCCGAGAGCGGCGTGGAGAAGAGCGAGATCGAGGAGAAGATGCAGGAGAAGGAGGCTAAAGAGGGGGCGAAGAGAAGCGTGAAGAGGGAAAAGTCGGCGGACAGGAAAACGGGTGAGAAGACGGAGGGACAGGTGGCTGCGGATGTGAGCGCAGAGCAGAGGAAAGGCAGAGCGGCCGCAGACGCTCTCAACAGACAGATCAAGGAGGTGATGTCCACTTCCAGCAGCTACAGGTACGTGTGACAGAGTGCCATATTCGAGTTAACAGAAACGTATTCTGAACTTGTTCGACTCTTTACTGTGACTTCATAACACCCCATTTTAGTTAACAACCCCACAGAAGCAGCCCCTGAACGCCTCACTGGTCTGACTGGTGATAAAGCATCATTTAAACATCACCAGAGGAGATTTGGAATTGCAGGATCTCCTGTTACAGTCTCCAGTGATATCCAAAAAGCCAACTGATATTGCCACAGATAAAGGTTGCGCTATTGATTTTTGTTTTTCTTCCTCTGCCTTATCCTTCCTGAGAGTACTCCCTAATCAATGCTGTAGCCCATGAATGAGTAAAGCCACTAAAAGGGTCTGAATGTAATCATGTGTGTCTTAACGTGGTTTCTTTTTGCGCAGGCTTCCTCCAAATTGAATTGACTTTGCATGTGGAGGAAACATGCACGTTATGAAGACTTGTTCCATTGTGGTGCCACCATAATGTGGCATCAGTGCCAGTGATGAATACAATGAGCTGCAGTGCTCTTTATAAGCAAGGACACAAAAATAACTTAGATATTTAACAAATGCTAAACTAATAGGTAGACGCAGTGGTACAGAAGAGCAGTTTTAAAGGACTTTGTCTTTTACACAGACTTTTTAAACTTATAGTATCTCACTTTACTGACTGGCTGAATAGAAACCTGGATCTTTAAATTCATAATTATGATAGCTGCAATTTTTAATGAATATACCAATTCTATAAAAACTGAAAAAGCCTTTTTCATGAGATGAAACATCTTTAAGATTCAAAAAGAGAAATTTAATTGCTTCTAACTGAAGCTCGTAGGATTACTATGACCTTGATGACTGAGAATCTGCATTTTTACATACTTTTTTTTTTTTTTAGAGTAATCCTTGCATTGAAGTTGTGAATAAAAGTCTATGAGCCTGGATTTTTTTTTAACTTCTTGTCCACATTAATCTGGGGGGGCACTAGCAGGGCTTAGAAAGTTAAATAAGATGATCTAATTTTGACATCAGTGCCAAAAATAAAAATAAATGAATGAAAGAATATGATCTTGTACTAAGAATCAAGTGTTCAGTGACAACCTGGCAGCAGAGTTCTGCACAACTTGGTGCTGAGCTGTGATCACAACATTTAGCTCTGCTGTATTTCTTAGTGCAAGTGGACAACAGTGATGTACTTTTGTCTTTTTAACGTGGACACTGGTCAATATGACAATGCTAATCTTTACCAAGCAAAACTGCTCATAGGCAGCTTATTATTTTTAACACACTAGCTGTAAACTTGCTTTTTTGCCCTAAAATTGGCACTAAATTAAGGCTAGACAGTTTAGAAAACATGCAGTGTTGATTTTCAACAATTTAAAGTCCCTCTCTGGTCATTAATAAAAACCTTTAAAACTAAGATTTTACATATTTAGGAGGGTTTTTTTGTTTGTTTGTCTGTTTTTTGCATGAAAGTCATCTCTTCATGCCCTAAAATGGCTTAGATGTAACTCGACACTGATTCCTCTAGAATGTTTTGATTTGTTAAGTCCTCTGCAATTTGCTGCAGCTCGATCACACCAGCTCACCCGCTACTCTCTCTGTAAAACGACTGTATGCTACACAGTACCAAGCTGTAATATTGGAGGACTTCAATCACACATGTTAGAGCCAGAAACTGAAGAAGAATAGTGATACAGACGGCGACATCCTGCAAGTTGACAGGATTGGTTCCTTGGGTTTGTGATGTATGAAACCCTGCAAGTCTAAATCCATGTTTTTAAGACTGTCATTGATATGCTGCAGTTTCAAGATGGAAATATTCACTCTTGGTGTTCACTGCTTGCTTTACTCATAATGTGTCTTCTAGCATATAAAAAATTCAATAAGTACATGTCAGTGAGTTAAAAAAAACAACAACATGCATTTCATTAGATTAAGTGATCAGTTAGGCCTAAAATTAATCAGTATCGTCGTTTTCAGGAAAATAAATCGAAGAATTTGATAATTTTTACTTAGTCAACAATGAAAATAATCACAATTTGCAGCCCCACAATCTTTCTTTATTTTTTTCCCCCATTGATCTTAGGACTGAGTTCAAGGCATACAAGGACGTGAAACCGGTGAAGCCCATCAAAGCGCCGTCCCAGTACAAACCCCCAGTTGAGGAGACCAGTCTGGAAACCAGCTACAGCGCCACGTTCAAGGGGGAGCAGGTGAAGGCTCAGCCGTCTGACAACAAGATGGTGGAGCGCAGGAGGATACGCAGCCTGTACAGCGAGCCCAGCAAGGAGCCCGCCAAGGTGAGAGGAAGTCCACACGACACCCAGATCCAGTAAATCTATGAAACTACCATTTCCACTCTGTGTTATTTACAGGAGTGCCTTTCTTATAGGCTGATTCTACTTTTTTTGTATAATCATTTACTTCCAGGGCAAGCTTGTGAATGAGAGCCAAACTCTCATCAGAAATCAATCAACATCTAAAGCTTAATTAACCCTGTTGTTAGTATTTTGCGCTCACTGAAAACTCAGCTGTATACATTTCTTTTTATTCAACACAACATCCAAGTTATGTACTGGTCTCATGGCAGGTGATTTCTGGTTTGATTTATGCAACTAAAAAAAACAACTATATCATAATATGCAGCATTTTTAAATAACAAAATATCCTTTTGTCATAGTTAAATGTGGCTAAAATGTTTAACTAAGACATTATATGTCATTCAGCAACCTGTACATACTGATACTGAAATTGTTTTAAATGTAATATGTGACCATTTGACTACATCACATGTTGACATAGGTCTTTATTTGAAGATTATCTGAGCATACACTAGTATCTGCGTGCATGTAATGAACAGTTCACACAACAACTGGTTTGAATTGGTTAATCCTGTGTCTAGCAGTGTGTTCATATGGCCACTCCCTCTCTCGTTCTTGTAGGACTTCTCAGAGACTGAGAGCAGCTCTGTTCTAAATCTGCTGTAGTCAGGTGTGTTCTCTGTTTCTATCTAGAAGGCATGGAGGCTGACCTCAGATCGATCAGACGTGCATACTGTAGACACACATGCGCACACACAGTATGCATCTTGGCCAGTCAGTCACATTTATCACCCAGCTGCCAGATGCAATCCTCCCAGAGTTATTAGCCACATGTTGTCACCGTTTTCCCACCTCTCAGTCTGCACCAGCCGCTATATTTTGTGGAGCTTAGTGGTTTCAGCAATTGACCACAGGATTATGTAAGAGGGTGGATGGATAAATGAATAGAAGACACAGTGGAGCAGAGATGCTACCAACGTGTATCAGCTAAGAATCACAGCAGAATAGAAGGATGTGTTGCATCAGTGGAGGTAAACAAGACAAAAAAAACTTCCCCCCATTTGTTTGAGGCTCTATTTTGGTGACACTGTGTGATGCAAATTACATTGGGCAAAATGGCATTTTGTTTTCTCTGTCAGCATCCAATGGCTGAGTATTAATTAGACTGCATGCAAGAAAAAGAGAGGCTCAGTAGTGTGTATGTGCCAGTGGTAAG